TGTGTGTGTGTGTGTGTCTAGAAAATGCCTACACTGTACCTAATCTGGTCCATCCTGGTCTAACCCAGAACTTTAGCATCAGCATCCCTTTCTAATAATACTACCAAGGGAAATAATAAGTAGTGTCTCCACAGATAAATGGACTAGATTATTATTTACATCTTATATTCCAACTGTAGATAAACGAGAGTCCTTTCCAATAAGGTCAAAGTCAACACTTCTATTTGATATAGTGTTGGAAATGCTAGCTAAAGCAATAAGAAAATAATTAAGGGACTAAGCATAGGCAAAGAAGAAACAAAATGATGGCCTTTTGCATATGATAGAGAACCTTAGAGATTCAAATAAAAAATTGAAATATTTAATAACTTCAGCAAAGTTGAAGTGCTATCAGCAAAAGACCAGGAAGAACAAGAAAAAAAGAGATTCCATTTAAAATTATTTCAGAACATATAAAGTACTTGAGAGTCTACCTATAAAGACATACAGTGACTATATGAACATAACTACAAAACATTCTTTAAACAAATAAAGACAAACCTAATAACTGAAGAAAAATTAATTACTCATGAGTAAGTCAGGTCAATACAATAAAAATGACATTACTACTTCAATTAATTTACTTATTCAATGCCATCCCAACCAAACTAGCAAAAGTTTACATTATAAACTAGAAAAACAATAATGCCCACAGCTGTGTCAGGTACCTCAGCCCTCCCTACTCCACCCCTTTCAGCTTCTTGTATTTCTGGTTAGAATGTAAACTCTCACACTCACACTCACACTCACACACACTCTCTCTCTCTCTCTCTCTCTCTCTCTCTCTCTCTCCCCCTCTCTCCCCCTCTTCCTCCTCCTCCCTCTCTCCCCAACCCTTTGTATTTGTATTCTTGGCACTTAGCAGTGTCTGACACATATGGTGACTTAATAAATGACTGACTAGGTCTAACACAACAATAAAAACCTCAAAATATTTTTTGAAGGGCAGTCAGGGACCAGTAAAAATCCACTGGGCAGTTTACTCTGCTTAAACTGATGATTATTGAAGGATCATTCTTAATTAAATGATTCAACCTTTTTTATGCTCCAACAACAATGAAAACAGCATTTCTGGATAAGATTTTTTCTTTTTTTAAAAGAAAGCATCATCACTGGGTACTCCTAGAGAAGAGTACTCAATGGCCTTTCAATTTTTCCCACTGAATACATAAGGCCAGTATTACAAGAGGCTAAATCCTCACTCAGACATATTTTGTATTGTCTAGGAAATTTTTTTCATATATAACTAGAATTTCCCAGCTATCAGAAATTATAAATGATTTACAATTTACATAGTTACTTAATGAGTAGTAACTTATTACTACTGCAATGAGTAGAAAAATCTGGTTCCTGTCTTCAAAGACAAACATATTCAAAAAACAAAGTTTGACTAAAATGACTTTTATTGGGGCAGCTAGATGGCACAGTGGACAGAGCACCAGCCCTGGATTCAGGAATACCTGACTTCAAATCCGGCCTCAGACACATAATACTTACTAGCTGTGTGACTCTGGGCAAGTCACTTAACCCCACTGCCTAACTAAAAAAAAAAGTCTTTTATTTGATACAGAGGCTTTTTTAAAAATGAGAATGCTATAGGAAAAAACTGAAAAAGCATGTTGCAAAGAATTCACTCAAGAGAGGAGGGAAAAATTCAAGGTAGAAATGATTTATTCAAACTATAGCATTTCAGAATTGAACTAGGTAATCAATTCAGTATTAAGAAATCAAAATTTGCATTTTCTAGGAACAATTGTTTCATTAGAAGCCTAGCATTAGAACTTATTTGCCAGGTTACATTTCTCTGTTTTGAGTTATCTCCATTTATACATGAGAGTGATAGGGGCAAGGAAAACATACTGTCAAGTCAGCATCATCTGAGAAAAGAGTTCTAATTAATCTAAATAACTATATTCTCTCTCTTCATTTCCCCTAGGCTTTATACTATTATGAGAGAAATGGAGGTAAACAAATACCATACTGGATTGTAATTCAGCTGCTGGCATAGCTCAAATAAACCCATGATGCTGAACTCCTTTCTACCTGCCCTTCCATCTCAGGCAATAAAACAAAAGACAGGGAGAGAGAGAATGTAAGAAGGAAAAGGAGTGAAAAACAAAGATGGAGAGAGACAGAGACAGAAAAGGATATGGAAAGACAGACAAAGAGAAAATAAAAGAAGACAAAGGGAGAATAGAAGAGAGAGAAGGGAGAGGGACAGGGAGAGAAGGGCAGAGGGAAATGGGGGGAGGAACAGAGAAAGAGAAAAGGACAAAGAGATAGTTAGCTTTAAAGATAAGAGTTTTTCTAAAGATCATCCTAAGAGCATTTATAGATGAAACTGGCAGGAGGACAACAAACAAATATGAAATGGAGCAGATCTAGCAGCATTTCTATAGTGATCTATTATTTATTCTCAATAACACTGAATAACATTTGAACTACAACACCTAAATATTGAAACTAATGTTCAGTAAAAAGAAATGGAAATGGAGATGGAAACTGTATTCAAGCAGATAAAAGTCACGAAAAACAGATGAACTTGACTAAATACATATAGAGGAAAAAGGTCCTGCAACCAATGCAATTTCAAAGGTATTAAGGAATGATTTTCAAGATATTTCAAAAAAGATGGAAGACCTCACAGGGCTGGATTGTAAAAAAGGGGAAGGGGACAAATGAGAAGACACCAAGGCAAAGCCCATACATCTCCTTCACTCATCTTTAAAAAATCTTAATGAGAATATTTTATGCACATATCTAGAGTGAACATGTGAGACAGGAACAGGCAGGCTTTTGTAATAATAATAGTTAGCACTTATATAGCAAAGCATTGTGGATATTACA